GTTGCACTTTTACGTATACTGTGAATACGCCATACCTAGCGAGTGACCTGTGAATGTCACTGAATATCCCAACGGCACAAACAAGTCGTTGAGGTAGGGCAGGACAGTCTGCACCACAAACTCTCCACTATGGCCGATTCCCATGTGCACTTTGCCATCAACCTGCGTGGAGAAGCTACAGGTCAGGTCTGGTCATGTATAACTGCTGCATAGGCTAGGCTATAGCTCTGATCTGGTCATATATATCTGGTCATATATATCTGGTCCATTGGCTACAGCTCTGATCTAGTCATGTATATCTGGTCCATTGCGTAAAATATAAATAGACCATAGCTCTGATCAAGTCATGTATATCTGATTCATTGTACAGAACATAGATGATTCATTGTAAAGAACATAGATCATATCTAGTCATGTAAACCTGATTCATTGAAAAGGGTATAGATCATATCTAGTCATGTGTATCAGATCCAGTACATAAGCTATAGATCATGCATGTCTGGTCCATTGCATAGGCTGTAGGTCAGGTCTTGTCAATGTATATCTGGTTCTGTGCACCCGACAATCAAATTCATATGTAATTGTGTTGCCTCGTGGCTACTTGAGGTAGTCGTACCTCTTCTGGGCACCTTATAACAAAAAACCCCTCAGCTGCCATAATACACACACACACACACACACAGGCACACAAACACACAGGCACACACAATATATATATATATATATATATATCTGGTCGTACGCATGCCTTGGACTGTATACACAAGAATCAATACAAAATTCATACAGACACACGTATAAGTACGCCAGATGACGTGTACATGCAGAGAGTTGTTCTCCGAGACCTACCGGAATGGAGTCTAATTGCGCCGGTTCGCACAGTAAGTCAGTCAGCAAATCCTCTACACTGTTGGTGCCTTTGATAGCGACGATTACCTGCACATTCATGGACAATGAAAACTTAGCAGTTTTTAATGGCAGACCAAAAACCCCAGGTTTTGGGGGTAATAAATTATGATTTCGGGGAAAATAAACTATGATTTTGGGCCCCTGATTCAGACCAACAAATGGTGCGTACAGCGCCTCTAATTCCTCTCGTATTGGTAGATAGATAAGGCCATATGATATTGCACGTTCATTTGCGCATGATATGGAAGTAACCCAGCAAAAACACAACCGCATACAATCACGTGTATGCGCACCGTGTCTCTTTTCTGTCGTGGTTGTAGCATGACGATAAGACACATGATATTGTAAATACAAATGCATGGTATATAGGAATCATAAAAACACCTGCAAACCACACATACACACATACGCACATAAATGTACAGCCTACCTCTTTCTTTTCGTTGTTGTAGCATGGCAATAAGACAGATGACATTGTATATACAAATGTATGATGCATAGAATCATACAAATGCATGGTATATAGGAATCATACAAACACCTGCAAACCACACACACACACACATACACACATAAATGTACAGCCTACCTCTTTCTTTTCGTGGTTGTAGCATGGCAATAAGACAGATGACATTGTATATACAAATGTATGATACATAGAATCATACAAATGCATGGTATATAGGAATCATACAAAACACCTG